GCCAACTTGAAGGGGGGATGAAGGAATCATCATCAACATACAGCTGAAAGAATTAGTCGTGTTTCTTTGCTTTCACGTTTTATCATCTTTTGTCTTTTACGTTTTTGTTATTTTCTCTCTCTTTTCTGTTTGCACTGTTTTCTTCTTGCTGAGTTGTCAGCCAACTATTGGACAATAGGTTGCTCTTGCTTCTATATATACTGCAAGAGCTTCCTTCACGTTACATTCATTAAATTTTAAATAAAGTTGTTTTGGGCTGATTAATTATCAGTTTTCTTTGCTCAATATATAAGTTTATTGGTACTTTTTTATTCATTTATCTCATCGCGTTTTTATAATTAGCAAAAGTAAGAATGCTCTTTCAGCATTTCACCTAAAAATAATACATGAAATAATGAGCAAAAAGCATCGTAATTACTTTTATTTGAAGGGATTAGATCATTGACTCACCAATCAATTAGTTATTATATATCATACATTACTATGATCCACGAATTGATATTTCAATGATCTTTGATTTATTCTTTGCTATTTGATATAATAAATGATTAAATTTTTGTTGCACGCTTGTCTTCTTATTATTTTTGTCAAAATTCGGCATAGCACACTCATATGGATTGTCTACGCCATATCATGTCAATTCTATTTTTTTACTAATATTTTTCATCATCTTGTTCGAAGACTTATGAAATTTGACATCTTGTTCGAAGACTTATGAAATTTGACCGTCTTCGCATCGAACAAAAAGTAAAAAGTAAAATGCATAGATTCAAGATGACTATATAAAAAGTGCCAAGTTATTGAGAGAAAAGAAGAAGAAGAAGAAGAAGAAGAAGAATAAAGACTCCAATTATAGAGGGAAAACAAAGAGAAAATTAGAGAGAAAAATAATAGTTTTCTTCACGCTTGTTGAATTAATTATTGTTTGTGAATATAAGAGTTTTAAGTGTGAAAGATACTCCATTATTATAACAACTTATATTTAATAAATTTCTATATTTCGATAGACCAACTGTCGGTCTATGTGACGCTACATAATAGATGTAATTAAGCCCTTGTTTAATCCTCTTTTTTTTTTTAATATATTTTTCTTTCTTTTATTTTCAACCACGCATTCTTTATTAAAATATTATTATGCGCAACTTAAAAAAAATTATTTTTAACCATACATTTTCTATTAATCTACTATTTCGAAATGCATTCTAAACTAAAATTGTGGCTCAAATAGACTATAAATATAGTCGGGCTACATGTCATTATTCATGTGTTTTTCTTTTCATGATTATGTAAGTCCTCGTGTTCTTCATTTTGTTATACTATTTTTTTTTTTATATCTTTTAAATTGTGGCATATACTATCTATTTTTATTTCTTAGTTATTCTTAGAGTATGTTTAAACCCCATTTTTCTTAATAATGCATTTTGGAATAGTAGATTGATATATAATGTATTGTTGAATAATAAGGAATTTTTTTAATTTTCATGTAATATTATTTTATTGAAAAATGTGATTAAAAATAAGAGAGAAAAATATATTTTGAAAATAATGGAAATCAAACATGGTATTAATGTTTTTTAGAGAAAATGGTAGAAGATAGCTTCAGTTTGGCCTCCACTACTTGAAATTTTAATGGTTGAAATAATATTTTTTAAAATAATGTGTGGTTAAAAAAGAATAATTTTTTTTTTTTTTGGAATTACATGTAACATTATTTTATCAAAAATATGTGAGTGATGAGAAGAGAGAAAAATAAATTATAATTTTAATGGCATAATATTTTCCATATATCATTTGTAATTATCGAAATAACTATTGTATTCGGTGGATTTAAAATATACAAAATGGACCCTAAATTTGTCGTGCACTGGTCGAGTACCAATGAAGGGTTATTAACAAAAATAATAGAGGCACGCATGCTGTATGCAACTGTCAGTCTTTTCAATTTCAAACGTGCACAACAATCCTTACAACTCATATCATATGTTCATATTTTAATTAGCGAATAAAATATATTCGTATAATCGTATATGACGTAAATAGATAACCTTCTATATTTCTAATTTTGAGTATCACATACATTTTCTGATCAATTTTGTGTGGTAGTCACCCTTAACGAGGTTATTAATATACCTAAAATGCCATTTATAAAGAAAGATGAAATTTTATTATTGTGGATTAAGGTGAATAATATTTTTTATTCGAAAGATAGTCATTTGCAACGAAGATTGGAGGCGAGTTTAGATTAGATAAGAAAAATATAGTAAATAACATTATTTTGAATAAAAAAATCAAATAATATTGGACACCTTTATCCACCATTATATATTTTATCCGTTATTCTTTTATAGTAAATCTTTTATATGACCTAATTCAATACACCAAACGGAACTTAGGGGTAGGTGTTACGAATGTAATGGAATAATCCTTCTCATTACAAGCAATTGTACCTCCCACCCATGATAGAACAATTTTCATTCCCATAGAAGTAGCAATTTAATCTCGTAAGTATCGATCGGGGAAAGCAACTTCTGTCTTTATCACAAATTTTGACACGAACATCGGACAAAATTTTATTGCTGCGATATGCTAAACTTGGAACAAATGATCAAAGAAAAGAGAAAAATATAAATGGGTTTTCCCTAATTCTAGTGTCACTATCTTTAATTTGTTTCATTATATTTCGGAATATGCTTATTTTTAACTTGCTTGTCCTTATCTCATTCCCTAGTTCTCATTATATGATTACTGTGTTGACGTCAACGAACAAGTTGATCCTCAATGTTTCACTTATATTGCACCGTTGGTCTCAATGAACAGATTTTGCCATATTTGATGACAAAAGTCATTCAAATTATGGTTATGTCCTCATCAAATTTCTTGTGAGGATCTTGATGGGTTGCTCAATTGGTAAGACTTTTTGTTTGCTCTCCAATGGTTACCAGTTCGAATCCCCTCAGGATCATTAAGGTAAGTACCCGATCGTAAATTTCAGGGCCCCGTGAGATTAGTCGAGGTGTGTGCAAGCTTGCTCGGACATCTACGGTTATTAAAAATAAAAATAAAAAAAAATCTTGCTCAACGTTAATGGATGTTCGAAGACCAATATGCTCAATTGAGAATCAGGTTAATCTCTATATGCGCTAAAGGTTGTAAACTAACAATGCAATTACCCGACTTTGAGAAGGATCTAATAATTAATTTTACTTTTCATTTTCCGATAAACTTTAGAAATTGGCTCATGATATGAACATTATTGTACTTTTTTTTTCCTCGAAAACATAATATGTGATAGTTATAAGCTCTAATTAATTTCTAGGGTGAAGAGCTATTATTATTATTATTATTATTATTATTATTATTATTATTATTATTATTATTGTTGTTGTTATTCATTTTGGGATTCA